TTTAATCATATAAACTTTTTATTGTGATTTAAAGAAATCTAGGGAAAATTTATCTGTTAAATTTATCCCGGTAATACATGTAAATCGGTGACTTACGCTGTACGATCATTTAGGGCCCCACATGTTACTGCTGGACACATCCATTGGTAGATAGAGAGCTTTATATAGTCATGACACAAAGGATTTTGAATAAACTCGATTTGCAAAACGGTCTCATGCGTCACCAATCTGATAATTCTATCACGCGTCATTTCCTTTGACTTGCTTTATCATTGACGTCAATTTCATCGAAATCGTCCTCGTAATCGGTTTCGTCATCACAGCAAACAGCTTTGACGTTTGTATCAGTTTGGAAAAATTTAACAGGATTTGCAGTGCAATGTTCGGATTCGGGATCCGGGACTTGAGGTGTAATCACGTATTTAGGTAAAGTGTCTGTGAGATTTTTGCGAACCTCAATCCACTCAGCCAATTTGACAATCATTGCATCGCTCCATACTACAGTATCCATGGCACCTTCACATCAAGCAAGTCAGAAAAATGCATCTGGGAATGACGCGGAGCTTGTACACGCACCAGTAGCAGAGGCATATAGCGTGGCAAATTCATCTCGAAACTTATCTACTTGAGACTCTACTTAAGCAAAAATCAAAATCTCCTTTTTCGGCACCAGTCATTTTCAACAAACCTTGATATCTTTCTAACTGGTCATGCAGCTCACTGAGCTCGTCCTCCTTCAAATTCATCCGGTCTGTCACCCACACTAAAAATATCAAAGGTTACAATTGAAAGCTACAAACACACTGCGACAGCCTGCACTTAACCGTAGCCGTCGCGAATTCGCTCAATTTCCTGGTCCTTTTCATTTGTTTCAGCGAAAAGCTGCTCTTCCTTCTGCCGAGCTGAGTCCCGCTCATCCGTGACTATCTGAAGCTGAAGCTGCAAGTCTTCTTCGGTCTCTTCAAATTCCTTCAGCCTTTGCAAGGACTCAAACAAGGCATGATCTGCTTTCTGTGCCTTCTCATTACTTTCAGCAAGTTCGTGTTTTAGACTACAAAGCTTTGCTTCCAACTTTTCAAGTTCAGCCAACCGACGGAGGTCATTTGTCTGAGCTTCCAATAAAAGTCTTTGATATTCTCGTCCTGCTGCGTCCAATTCAGCCGTATACCTTTTGCCATTGGCGTCAGTAGCAGCACCGCCAATTGCATGACACTGTGCCTGGAGCTGGGTTTCTGCTGCTTCGGCTCGTCGCTTCCAGCTGATAAGCTCTGCTTCTGAAGCTGCAAAATGATCCAGTGCGTGTTTAAGCTCCTGCTTTACAAGATCGCTCTCATTCTGCAAGACTTTGAAAGCAGCTTTGCTCTCCACTGTCCGAATGTTTGCCTGTGCATCTGCTTCAGCCTCTTTTCGAATGAGTGCAGCACGCGTTTGCTGCAAAAGAGCATATTGTTGCTGTCCAAAAGCTTGTTGATCGTTATAGCGCAACTCGGCAGCTGACAGTGCACGATGTTGTTCATCGAGCTGTACACGAACCGACATCAGCTCAATATTTAGTTCGGCAACGCAAGACTGCCCTTTCTGCTGGGTTGTGTCTTGTTCGTGCTTCTTATCAGACAATTGTGCGCACAATTTGTCCACTAACTCCTCAAGTTGCTTCTTAGTCTGTTGCAAGAGTTCATGCGCACGCTTTTGCTCTCCATTTTGAATCAACAGCGTCTGTAACAGATCTTCTCTCTCAGTCATATGTGCTTGCAAGGTATCCAATTGACGCTTAGACTCCCCTGCTCGATTAAAAGCCTGCGTAAGCTCACTTTGGAGCGCATCTCCGCGCGTTTTTTCTTGATCAGCACGTTGATTTGCAGACTTTGATTTAGCATTAAGGCACGCATATTGCTCTTGCATCTCGCGTTCTCTGTCCTTCCAGACAGCGCTCGCCAACCTTAACTTGGCCAGTTCTTCACCATAGCTTTCAAGCTGCGCATGCTTTTCACTCTCTGCAACCTTTGCTTGATCATACGATGCTTGTGCCTCCTGTAGCACTAGCAAAGATGTCTGACGAAGCTGGTTGACTAGTGCGCGAGCATTCGATGCCTTTCTCTCGAGTCTTTTTGCCAGCAAGTTACTCTCTAGTGCTCGCCGTCCATATACCTCACACTGCAACGCTGCGTATTGATGCCATTGGACACACGTAAGCTGCAGGAAACGACCAACTCTGTTCCCTTCAGCCTGAGCCTTGTCCACTGCTAAAGCGATTGAGACGACTCCAGTGGCGTCCGTGTTTGCAACATACTCGCCCAAGATGCGCCAGTCATCAGAATTATTTGTTAAGCTTATGGCAACGCGAATACGAGAGACCCAACCGTTTTGGAAAGAATCCAATTGATGTTTGTGCACCTCAGCTTCCGTGTCGATTTTTGAGCCCGCGGCTCGCTCTTGGTTCCCCGCCTTCATGTTTTGTATCACATGATCCATCGCTGCCAATGCAAAGTATCCTAAAAATCTTATGGTATCTACAGATTCTTTGCCTGCTAAAATGTTAAGCGTTGTTGCCGCGATTGATACGCCAGTAGCATTCTCAGCGCTTTGTGGCTGGCACTGATACCAAGCTTGCACATAGTTCAAAATCGATGACAAATATTCTGCTCGTTCAGTCTTGGTGGAAAGCTGTGCGTAGTCGCGCTGTTTCGCTGAAATTGCGTTACATGCGAAACCTGTATTATGCATGACAGCCGAGATCACATCGTGCAAAAACCGCACCGGTGGTCTGTTAAAGAGTTTAAAAGGGATCACATTAGTTTTCAGCAAGTCCTGCCAAGACATCACGTAGCCCAAAAGCTTGTACGTCAATTCATTTAATCCTGCTACTTCCTCAAGTTGGCCTCGAGCCTGTGCCGCCTGAAGACCAGTCATGCTTGCCAAAATAAATGTTGAAGCTGGTAGTGAGGCCACTTCACTCCCCTGTGTCGTATTTTGTGTATTTGTGAAAAAGCCAGGTCTTCTATCAAATTGAACTGTTCCACCTCGTACAGAAATCGACTCAAAAACACGAGGTAGCTCAAAATCAATCACAAGCGAGGGTGTTGCATCTTGTGTGTCTGCAATCCAGCACTCAACTCCATTCAGACGAGCAAATTTGGCGTCTTGAGATTTTGAAGAGGCTGTAAGACATCTGTCTGGCAGCGACCACGATTCCAGACCCAGCGCCGCAACTTCGCCATCCCCGACACATTCGAGGACGGTACAGTCCTTAATCTTATCACTCTTTATTTCTTCGCAGATTTTCGAAAAGGCTAAAAGTGTAATTTTAACTTCATCCCAGCGTGCAGCTACTACTTGTAATGATTTACTGTGCTGGTCCGCAAAGCGAACAAAATATTGAATGATTGAGGAGAAGTCAAATATACGCTGGCGATCGCGCGTGATAGATTGAACAAGAGCCGACCGTTGAGTACGAACGAGAGCCAAAGTGATAGAAAGACCACGCTCACGTTCTTCGAGTTGCTGTTCTTCTTCCTTTGCAGTATTTGCTGCTTGAGCTGCAAATGATACCATCTTTTCAGCAGAAATGTTTTTTACGGAACTTTTCTCAGCTTGCATCTGCGCGTGAAGTGACTTCAAACGCAACAACTCAATAGTCATCGTGTTGATTAATGTACTGCGATCATTAACAAGCCGATTCTCCAATAAATGCAACTTTTCACATTCATCATTAACATTCTGCAACTTGCTGCCCATTTGACTTGCAATCATGTGTGCAGCCGACGCAGTTGTTGTGTCTTCCCGATGATCGCAAATGAGGTTGTTGGTAGCTTTTGTGGTATCTGGAATCAGACCACATCGTCGTGCCCATAAGTCGGCGTCTTTGTGAAGGGAATCTCGAAATATGTAAATAAGAGTGCGCAAGTCTTTGGCTTCATCTTCCATAATTTTCATTTTCTGAGCAGTCTCAAGCCATTGCATAACCACCAAACTTGCCCCGGCGTCAGCTACTACGCAATTGGGGTCGTCAACATCGCGAAGGGCACGCATCATAAGCTCAAGATCACCCTTTTCTTCAAGCAATCGCCACTTTTTTGTTCGTTCATCTCGAATGCACTGATCAGCCTGAGCACGTTCTCGAGCACGTTTCTTGCGCTCCACTTCGTGCTGTTTGGAGAGCTTTGCTTTGTCCTCCCAAGTTTGAAGCCTTACACGGTCCATCTCTTGAATCTGCTTCTCATACATCGCTACGATTTTATCCTTTTCCTGAGGGTCAAGACCAAGAGTAGCTCCCATTTGCTCTTGAAGTTTTTGCTTAAGCGCTGCAATTTCGTTATTGAGCTGCGAAATCTGCGATGATGCTTCATTTTTCTTGGCATTCACCTTAATACTCTTGGCGCGACTAGCGTACTTAAGCGTACTCAGCGTCTCTGCGAAATTAATACTGGCGGGCGAAAGCGTTGCAAGCATCGAGCAGAGACTATTGCCACCGAGGGATTCCTGCAGCACACGCGTCAGCTTCGAGTTTCGGTATGGAATGAACACCTTCTTGCTGGCTCGAGAGGCCTCGACGAGAGCGTTAATGACGTTGCCTAATGCACTAAGCGACTTGTTAATGTTCGCTCCTTCGCGAAGCCGATCACCTTGTGCACCCGTCGACGCAGCGCGCTCCGAACCAGCAAGATCCACAAGATTTATCTTTGCAAAAACACTCTTTGTCTCATCTTCAGCATCCTTCTGATGAATCTTTATCGTAAATATCGAGTGCGACCGAGAGCTTTCGGAATTCATTTGCGTGTATCCCACTGTTCTTGATTGTGCTCCTAGCGCAATGAGTTCCACAATCTCTTCTTGCGTTTCTACAACTCGCTCCTGAAGATTTTTCACGTATATTCCAAGCACAGAGTGCTCCTTGATTTCCAAGCCACCTTTCTTCTTCTTATTGTTGCCGTTAGAATTGAGCAAATCGTAAACGATTTCGTTATGAATTTCAAAATACGAACATTCTACAAGAAAGCGCTTGTTGGAGTTTTTGACCAAATCTTTGGCAATGCGATCAAAAATGGCACGATTAACTCGTGGAATCAGACCTTCCAGATTCTCTAATCCTCCTGTCACACCTGTCATACTAAAAGACTTGCCACTCCCTGTCTGTCCATAGGCAAAAATTGTACCGTTGTATCCTCCGAAAGCTCGATCCAATAGTGGCAAACCTATATCTTCAAAAATCAATTCTTGCTTCGAGTCGCAACCATAAACGAAGTCAAAGCCGAATTCATGCTGTTCTGTGGGGTTTTCGATATTTGTGAGCACAGCTGAGCCATTTGAACCACACGTAAAGCACGAGACTGCCTGCTCACGATTCTCATGCTCGTTCATAGGCCGACATCGCACGGCTACACGAATGTTCTCAGCCTCCTTTTCTTCCGCCTTCATATTGCCTTTTTGTCACCAATCAATGCCTAATAGTACAGTTGACTTAAGATATATGTCGGACGTTACTAACTGTAAACAATGCCGCTACGAAGAGTCACCGAAAAACAGTGTATTTGTCTGATCATACAGAAATCAACGTGGGTTAGCATTATACATAACCAGGTCGACAGAGTTGCGGTAGGTCTTTCGCGAACCACTCGAGCTTGCTGTGTCCCACTTTTGCAGACTTGCGTCTTAACAGTGGTCATAGAGGAAGCGGTTGGCATTGTTATCGTGTTGTGAAAGCTCGTAGCGATCTGTGAGGTCATGTACAAAAATGTGCGCTTTACTTTATAAGCGTGACTTCCTTCAACATTAAAATTCGAGAACATTCGGGCTAGACAAGTAGAACCTGCGAAAACTGATTTCGAGGCTAGATCTTCGCGAACGTACCACGGTGGATACTCTCTCACGTTTCAACACTTTCGTTTGGCTGACTAATTCACACGATGAGCGACCCAGCAATGAGAGAGCCTGTGGATCTGTCAGGAGATGGCGGCGTACTCAAGGAAACATATTTTGAGGGCTCGGGCGAGTGTCCACCCGCTGGTGACGAGATTCGCGGTGCGTAGATATTACTTATATTGAGACCAAGACATAAGTTTGGCCTTGAAAGCTAATGAAATCATGCTTGCTTAGCCCACTACACTGGCACGTTACTAGACGGCACTAAGTTTGATAGCTCGCGCGACCGCGACTCGGAATTTAAGTTTGTTTTGGGTAAGGGCAATGTGATAAAGGCGTGGGACTTGGCTTTTGCCTCGATGAGAGTCGGCGAGGTATGACGTGGCATCAAACCATTGAAATTATCTTCGTGATTATATATGTGACTTTGTTGCAGAAAGCGATGCTAACTTGCAAACCTGAATACGCCTATGGCGCGAATGGCAGCCCGCCCAAGATCCCCGCAAACGCAACCTTAAAATTTGATGTAGAACTCCTTGGCTTCAGCCCAAAGGCCAAGGAAATGTGGGAAATGGACACCGCGGAGAAGGTCGATCAGGCCACAAAGCTTAAAGCCATGGGTACAGAGCAGTTTAAGGCGAAGCAGTTTGGCATTGCGGCCTCCACGTACAATGATGCTGCGTCGTTTATGGAAGACATGTACGATGTTGCTGATGAGGACAAAAAAATTATGAAAGATTTGCAGACCACGTGTTATTTGAATGCTGCTATGGCGTATCTAAAGGTGGAAAACTATGCAGAGGCCGTATCTGTAGCTACAAAGGCTCTAAGCAATGATCCCACCAATGTCAAGGCACTATTTCGTCGTGGTGTAGGTCGTATGTATACCAACGATCTGGACCGTGCAAAGGAGGACTTGTTGGCTGCTGGCAAATTGGATCCATCTAACCGTGATGTGCGTCGAGAGATCGATGTTTTGAAGAGAAAAATGAAGGAGACACGTGAGAAAGAAAAAATGGTCTTTGGCGGGCTATTTGGTAAAGTATCCATGTATGAGGATAAGTCGGTTATTGAGGCAGAGCCGTCGTTGGACCCAAGTAATCCGAAAGTGTTTTTCGATATCAAAATTGGAGAGGAGGATGCTGGGAAAGTGGTGATGCAGTTATTCAGGGATATTTGCCCCAAAACCGTTGAGAATTTCCGTGCATTATGCACAGGGGAGAAAGGCAACTGCTCGGCGGGCCAGCCACTGCATTACAAAGGCAGTACTTTCCACCGCGTAATTAAGAGCTTCATGCTTCAGGGTGGTGATTTTACGTGCGGTGACGGCACGGGCGGCGAAAGCATTTATGGCGAAAAGTTTCCGGATGAAAACTTTCGTCTCAAGCATTCGGAACCAGGCTTGCTTTCCATGGCAAACGCTGGGCCTGGCACCAATGGGTCGCAATTCTTTATCACAACTGTGCCCACGCCGCATTTGGACGGTAAGCATGTAGTGTTTGGTAAGGTTGTGGAAGGAATGGATGTCGTGAAACGCATTGAAGGCCTAGATACTGATGAGGGCGACAAGCCGACGCAGCCTGTCGTTATCGCTGACTGTGGCATGTGTGAGGCGTAAATTTCGAGTCAGACTTAACTAGTTATTTTGTTTTTAACTAGTTAAATAATAATTGGTCGAAATTTCTTACGGCCTTTGACAACCAACAATTGCAGCAGTTGTTCCCATTGAGACAATCACTCTTTAGCACTCATCACCGTTATGGACTCCGCCACAGATCAGACGATTCTCCGCCATGAGGTCACGGAGGTTGCTTTTGGCTTCTATAGTGACGCTGAAATTCGCGACTTGAGTGTGAAGCAGATTACCAGCCGCTTGAGCTTTGACTCGCTAAACAATCCTGTCGTGGGTGGCCTTTACGACCCGGCTTTGGGTCCCGTAGACTTTAATATGATCTGTCCAACCTGTCACCAAACGCAGAAGGAATGTCCTGGCCACCTTGGCCACATCGAGCTGCCTGTGCCTGTTTATAACCCTGTGCTCTTTAGCCAGTTGCTTACTTTGCTAAAACGCAAGTGCTTTACATGCCATAAATTTCGCGTGGCCAGTGCATGCTCACGTGTTGTACGCGTCAAGATCTTGCTTATAGATAATGGCTATGAGGATGATGCAGCACAGCTGGGCGAGCTGCTTGAGCAGCGAAATGGTGTCGAGGACGAGCCTCCTCAGCGCACTTTTCAGCGCCAGCAAGCAATACTAGACGAATACGAGCGCCTGGCTCTCTCTAAATCTCGCAGTGACAATGGTAAGGTACAGCTGCTGTGCCCATTGCCCCGTGCCGCCGAAGTTTCTCGCGAGAAGCTTGCTACTGAATTTTTGAAGAACAAGACAGGTAAATGTGAGAATTGCGGTGCCATTTCTCCCACAATCAGGCAGGATTCTTCGGCTAAAATTTTTCTGAAAGAACTTAGCGCGCGCTCTCGTAAAAGTAATCAGTCAAAAAATCTCACGATGACCTCTGCGTTAGACACAATTCATGGTTTTGTATCGAGAACGGACAGCGTTGACGTGAATGATAATGATTCCGAGTCTGAGATGGAGGACGATGACGACGAGTTTGTGAATATTGAGGAATCTTTGTCGCAAAGCAAGTTCTTGCCTCCTCTTGAGGTGCAATCGCAGCTGCAGTTAATGTGGCAGAATGAGGATGGTCTTATGGAGCTGCTTTATGGTGACCGCGACATCGCCAACGGCCGTGTTTCTGGTCGCAAATCATATGGATGGCGCAAATTTTTTCTAAATGTCATTCCTGTTGCACCCTCGCGATTCCGGCCGCCTGTTTTTATGGGCGACAAGCAATTCGAGCATGCCCAGAACACGCATTTGTCGAAAATTTTGTCTTATAGTGAAAGTATTGTTCAGGGTGATTATTATACGCGCCATGCCTCAACAACATCGGAGGAGGATGACGTCGATAAAGAGCAGCAGCTGAATCTCTCGCGTAAGCTTGCACTGTGGACGGAGTTGCAGAATGCCGTGAATCTTCTTGTGGATAGCAGCAAAGGCAAACCTGGGACTGACGTTGCGCAAGGTATCAAACAAATTATTGAAAAAAAGGAAGGACTTTTTCGCAAGCATATGATGGGCAAGCGCGTCAACTATGCTGCTCGTTCTGTTATATCGCCTGATCCGTACATTGGTACAAGCCAGATTGGTGTGCCGCTTCGTTTCGCTAAAACTCTCACGTATCCTCAGCCCGTGACACCATGGAATGTTAAAGAAATGCGTCAACTCGTGATAAATGGACCAGACGTTCATCCTGGTGCGAACTTTGTAGAAAGCGAAAATGGCCGTTTGATTGACCTTAGCAAGCGCACACCACACCAGCGTGAGGCTATCAGCAAGACGTTGCTCACACGCTCAGCAAGTGCCCAGGGCACTAGCAAGAATCGAGTGAAGCGCGTTTGGCGCCATTTGATGACTGGAGACGTTGTACTTATGAATCGTCAACCAACCTTACACAAGCCTAGTATCATGGCCCATACGACGCGTGTTCTTACGAACCCCAAGATGCAGACTATTCGCATGCACTACGCCAACTGTAACACTTTCAACGCGGATTTTGATGGCGATGAGATGAACATGCACTTTCCCCAAAACGAGCTGGCGCGTTCTGAGGCGTACAACATTGCTGCAAATGATAATCAGTATATCGTGCCGACAGATGGTTCACCGTTGCGTGGTCTGATCCAGGATCACGTTGACTCAGGTGTGAAGTTGACTCAGCGAGACACGTTTCTGACCAAGGATATGTATATGCAGCTTCTGTACAACGCCTGGGCTAGTATGGAAGACGCTGGTGCGGAGAAGGCACACGTCGAGACCATACCACCCGCTATACTCAAACCGAAGCAGCTCTGGACGGGCAAGCAGGTGATCACCTCTGTACTAAAGTTACTTACGAAGGGTTTACCGCCATTAAACCTGGACAGCAAGGCTAAGATTAAAGGTGAATTATACGGTTCTGCAAACAATGAGCACGTTGTGACCTTTCGCGATGGCGAGCTACTGCAGGGTGTTCTGGATAAGAGTCAGTTTGGGGCAAGTATGTACGGTATGGTTCACGCATGTTATGAAGTCTATGGCGCCCGTATTGCCGCCGATTTTCTATCAGCGCTTGGTCGATTGCTTACTTGCTACCTGCAATATGCTGGACATACCTGTGCGCTGGAGGATTTGACATTGAATCCACTTGCTGAAAAATGCCGTCGCAAGCTTGTCAAGGAATCCGAAGCTATGGGTGAGGAGGCTTACGCCGAATTTGCTGGTCTCTTTGAGCTTCTCGCGAAAAAACGAGCTGATGAAAAGAATGGCAAGAAACGCCGTATGAACGAGGAAGAGCGCTCAAGAATTCGAGATCGTATGCAAACACTGCTCTCTGGGCCTGGCGCTGTCAACAACACGAAAGCTCTGGATGCTCATATGATGGGCTGTGTGCACGGATCAAATAGTGATATTATTAAGAAATGTTTGCCTTCGGGTCAGTCAAAAGCGTTTCCAAAAAACAATTTTTCGCTTATGGTACTGACTGGTGCCAAGGGCTCCATGGTAAACCACTCGCAAATCTCGTGTGGCCTAGGTCAGCAGGCCCTCGAAGGCCGTCGTGTCCCTATTCTATGCAGTGGTCGTTCGCTACCTTCGTTTGAGCCGTTTGATCCTGCTCCGCGCGCTGGTGGTTACGTTACAGATCGATTCCTGACCGGTTTACGTCCCCAGGAGTACTATCACCATTGTATGGCCGGCCGTGAGGGCCTTGTCGACACGGCCGTAAAGACAAGTCGTAGTGGTTATCTTCAGCGTTGTCTAATTAAGCACCTTGAAGATCTTAACGTCAGTTACGACCACACTGTGCGCAACAGCGACGGTAGCGTAATTCAGTTTCTGTATGGTGAAGACGGCATTGATCCGGTGCAAGGTGCCATGCTGTCAGGAAATGATGCGCAATTTGATTTTCAAGCAATGAATCACCGCAGCATATCCCACAAGTACGGTATTAATGCAAACTTTTTCAATGATACTAAGCTAGACATTATGAAGCCGTTGAGTATGCACAAGGAGATTCGTGAGATTAAAGAAAACAGATCGTCAAAGCTGAAGCCTGGTGTGAAGGTGATGGTCCGCCGACTAAAACAAGGTGAAAAAAAGTGGAAACGCGGTAATATTGAATTAGGCTATCATGTTGCCGAAATCGTAGCGGTTGGTGCGGATACTGAGGATTGGCGTGAGCAAAAATATGACGTCAGGTACTTGGACACTGGCCTGAAGGTATTCGGCGTTCCTCGAACTGCGAAGTTTAAGACAAGCAGACCGACAAAATCCACTCGAGCCATGTCTGGTCGAGTGGACATAATTAAAGTGCTGCTGGAGGAGCCGGTGATGCAGAGTCTGCCGCTAAATGAGCATGTAGGATTGGTTTCGGAGCGTATTCAGGATAAATTGCGTAGCTATAACGCTCGTAATCCGTCTAATCGCCTATATTTGAAGTTGAGCAAGAAGGACAAAAAATCGAGGAAGAGAAAGCATACTGCAAATGGTGGGGTTGACAGGGATGTCATGCAGTCGAAGCACACTGTGAGTCCGGATGCTTTCCAGCTACTTGTCTGGGTGAATTATTTACGCAGTATGTGTGCACCTGGGGAAAACGTTGGCATTCTTGCTGCTCAGGGTATTGGCGAACCATCGACGCAGATGACGCTCAATACGTTCCATCTTGCGGGTCACGGTGCTGCTAATGTAACGCTAGGCATTCCACGCCTGCGTGAAATCATCATGACTGCTAGTCAACAGATGTCCACTCCTATGATGACAATTCCTCTTCGCGACGATGTCGAGTCGTCGCGTGCGCAGGTGGTAGAGCAGCATCTAAATCAGGTCGTTCTTTTCGAACTTTTGAGAAATGCTGGCGGTATATGTGTCAAGGACCAGTTTAACTGCAGCGAAAATGGTATTTTATGGGTACGCGACTACCATATTCGCCTGACATTTTTTCCTTTTAAAGAGATAAAGCGCGTATTTGGACTAAGTGCGGACCAGGTGTTCGACTCTGTCGGTCGGACTTTTGTCAGCAAGCTGCTATATTCAATATCTCAAGAATTGAAAAAAAGTGGTGTTACTGTTTCTACCGCGGCAGAAAAGTACAACGTAAAGACTTTTTCAGATGTTACTCTCAAGCACATAAATGAAGACGATGATGATGATGACGATGAACAGGGCACGCTTCGTTTTGGTAGCCGTGGAGAAGTTCAGGGCTACGGTGAGATGGATGAAGAAGATGAAATCATCCGAAATACACAATTGGAGGAAGAGTCGGACATCGATTCTGATAATGAGACTTTAGGCAACAAGAAGAGCCCCAATTCTTCAGTTTTGGATGATATTTCCGTGAAGTCTTTATCGAAGACCCAGACGAAAGCAATATCTGCTGATGACATGCAGTCTCTGGACGTTCCGAACAGCGTGCGCAAAAATCCGTCCTTTGTCTTTTGCGGACGCAATTCCAAGCAAAACTTTGTTGAGCTGCACCTTCGTTTTCCGACGCAATCTAAAGCGCTGCTGATGGTACCGCTTGTCGAGAAAGTGGCTAAGCAGGTGCTGGTGCGGTACTGCCCGGGTATTTTGCGGTGTTATCTAATCAATCAGCGCGTTGGTGAGTCGCAGGAGGAGAAGCCCTGCCTTCAGACCGAGGGTCTTAATTTTCAGGAGATTTGGGGGTTTGACGAGCTTTTGGATGTCAATAACCTCGTCACTAACGACATATACAAAGTATTGCAGACGTTCGGTGTCGAGGCTGCTCGCGCAAGCATTTCTAAGCAAATCATGGACGTTTTTGGCGTTTATGGTATCAGCGTTGATCCCCGTCACCTCAGCTTGCTTGCCGACTATATGACTGCACAAGGTGACTACATGCCACTTAACCGAATGGGTATAAATTATAAAGGCTCACCTTTGCAGCAAATTACGTTTGAAACGTCCATGAAGTTTCTATCCCAGGCTGCTTTAAGTGGTTTAGTGGATAGATTAGAGAGTCCGTCCGCTCGTCTAGTGTTAGGCCAGCCACCTCACCTAGGAACGGGCAGCTTCTCGCTTTTGCAACCAATTTCATTGTAGACACCACTTTTTCATGTGCAAGTCGAAGAAGAGCGTGTCAAACAAATTTCTGTATATGTAATACAGATTTAGCAAGTATAATTATATCTTATCGCTCCTTTGACAGATAGTAATAATTGTTCCTACTCTGGAATCTACTCTGATGTTTAGACCGACGTGTCTTCTCCATCTGAAATGAATTGCGCGAGCCAGTCACTTTGTGGAGAGCATATCAATGACTCCATGTTCAAATTATTAAGGTTCCCCTGGGTTTAACCTCAGTGTACACAAGGTTTTATACATCAGGTTCATTGATTTTACTTCTGCATGTACAGGTTTTATACATATAACCTGTAGGAGTTTCAGTAGTTTCACCATCATGTAGGTGTTTAGAAACGATAATCTCAATTACGATTTTACCGCATTTCTATCAAATCCTCCTCTCAGGCACAAATGTACGTGCTGGTTTGGCGCTGTCTCGGATAGCCTATTTGCAGCGGGGCTGTCGTAGCAAAACGCTTAAGGAGGCGTACTTTAGACCTTTCGATCTTTACAAGAACCGAGTATGAGTTAGCGGATCGCAATGCTTCAAGAGTGATTTTTGCCTTCCCAAGGCTTATCGACTCTTCGATTTAAATTCCAAACTGATTTTTATTTTATTTTTATTTTTATCCTAATGTCAAAAGTTTAGATTTTCCTAAACATACTAAATATATATAGTCAATCTAATACATGAATAACTACTGGCTACCTAGCCCCGATCCGTATTCTTGTTTGGGTGTGTGGTTCCATAATGCACATCTCGTGTGACACACACACCTGTTATTAGGGTTCGTGTAACCCCGTTACACCCTCCCCCACTAAGATTGAGAACATTTGCAGTTCTAATCTATTGTTGCCTCAACGAGGCTCGCGTGTCCGTTAGACACTGCAACTCAATTTGTTGGAGTTTAACAACTTCCTTGCTCAATGAGCCCTGTGACCACGACACAAAAACCATCAAGTGTCGCTGGTTCTGACAGCGAGCACGGGCAGAGCCCAACTTCGCCCCCCGTCCCCCGCACGCGGTGCCATGTCGGACAGTGCGTCCGCTGTACCGGGGGATGTATATCCTAGGCCCGATGAGCACAAACGTCGCGCTCCGCGCACGCTTTCAGTGCCGAGTGGCCTCGTTGAGAATGTTGTCGCATATGAGTCTGACACCGCTTTTCCCGCATGGGATGACGAGAAAAGCGAGCTGCACAAGCAGCAGGATACGAGCTCTGCTCGCGCCTTGTGGACCCCATGTCCGTTCCCTGACTTCTCGTCAACTGAGGAACGTGGTTTAATCACCAATGTCCTCGACGGGGAACAGAGGCGGCAGCTTGAAGCTGCACATAGGGCGGCTCTAAAGTGCGCCCATCCACGGTCGGTCATTGACCCTCGTGTGGAATATGGCTTCTGCCCTGCGGATCCCGCTTTGAA